GCAGGCTGAAGCCCCATATCTCCCTGAATTTGAAATCATAATATAGCCTTATAATATCTACCAGAGAAAAAACAGGAAATGCAAGGTAACAAAATTTTCCTGTTGATGGTTTCAGTTGTGCAGCCTTAACTGCAGAAATGTTCAAATAATATTTGTTCAAAGTGCTACCCATTTTCAGCAAGGAGCTACACTCAGTGATAATACTTGAGTGAGTGAGCAGTCACTTAACTGTAATCTTTATGTGACCAAGAACTGTTCAGTCCATAACCTGTAAATGTTCACCAGAAGAGCAATGCCATAACACAGGGCTTAGTTGAGAAATCTACCATTGTCCATTTTTCTTATCCTTGACCTCAAGAAAGTTTCCCTTTGAGATACCACTACAATATATTTTGGGATTAGGCAGGTCAAAGGAGAACTGCTAGGACCCCCTCCCACAACTTTATGAAAAATCTTCCAGTGAAAACATTTAGATTTACAGAGTTTTCCCAAAGGTCATTATGCAGTATGGTAACTTATGGCTTTGCTGTCAGTTTTCATAAAGCCATTTCTTCTAACAAGGAGGGAAAAGAGCGGGGGAGTGAGGAAAGGGGGAAAAAAATGGGAGCCATTAGTGGGCCCCTCCCCCTCAACCCTATTAGTGAGCTTTATTAAAGTAACACAGACAAAGAACAGAGATGCCCTCATTAATGGAGAGCCTCCGATAATTACTCAGCTCTGCCGTTTCTTTGGAGGGCCTGAATGGCCTTTGAATAATGTTTCTCTTGCTGTGGTCACAAACAATGTCCTAGCAGACCGCTCTAAACGGTGCCAATCCCATTAGCAGAAGAACAGCAGTCCTCTTTCTGTAGAGGTGGATGTTTGTGGTGGCTCTGCAGTGGGAATGAACTATGCCCACTGCCTGAGTGATTCTCCTGAAGCAAAGAAGCTGTGCCAGGAAAGGCTTGTTGAAAAAAACAATCTCCCTGTTGAAAAGGACCTGAGCTAAGTGGCTTGGGAAAGATGTAGCCTGCTGGCATAAGGGCCCACAGATGGGAACATCTCATCCGAAGGAGAAATAAAACATAGTTTATATTGAATGTTAAAGAAAAGCTAATGGATTGAGGGCTGAATTCCAGTGGGTAGTTTTCTTCTGCTTCTAAGGGTTAGTTCTATATTGTTCCCCCTCCCCCCCCCCACTCCATGGAAGTAAATCAGAACAATTCCTAGGGAGACTAGAAGCAAAAAAATAAAACTATTTGATATATACAGGAAAAAAAAAACATAAAATGTTCCTGGCTCCTATTTACTGATCTTTCCTGCAAAAACCTATGTGCATTTTTTCTGAAAAAAAGAAAGAAAATATTTTTCATCTGCATACTTTCCATGGAATGAAATCATTCCACTGAAATCAATCTCTAATAAAGCAGGAATCTGTCCTAAATTATATAACCAGATTTTTTTTCCCCTGGCCACAATGTCTAGCTGCAAAGGGTTGTGGATAGCAAAAGACAGGAAAGGAAGGGGTCACCAAAGCCTTTGGTTCTGTTTCTTTAA